AGTCCTGACCTGTAGATGAGTGTAAACTGTAGAGTCCTGACCTGTAGATGAGTGTAAACTGCAGAGTCCTGACCTGTAGATGAAATGATTTTTATCGTCCTGCAGGCTCTGATGGAAAATTAATTTGAATCTGAGGTATTTTTTTATAAAAATCGTTAGATTACTCTAAAGCAAAATGAGGGAAAATCGCTGTCAATTACAGACATTCTGTTTACGTGAGCAGCTGTCAGTCAACACCTGTCAACCTCCAGACACACGATGGAGCGTGTCTGAACCAATCACTGATCAGCTGACTGATTTAAATACATCTTAACATTCATGAGGTACTTTACATTGACTGTTTATGGTTGAGTGTGGGCGTGTAGAGGGTAGAACCTGAGGCGGGACCTCGTGCGCAAACTCTGACGTGTGGCTGTGATTTATAAAGGAAAGATGAGCAGAAACGTGCGTACGTACGGTTTTATAAATTTGAAATTTTTTTTTAGCGTACGCCATTTCCGCCTTTTGGCCGTACGTTCACTTTTAGTATGGTTTCCACGCAATCCTTTATAAATGAGACCCCAGGTCACCAAGCAGTGAGGCCATAGTGATGCAAGGATTTGTAACCCAATTTAACCAGTAAAAAAAGAGAAAAAGACGCACAATGTGAGAGAGTTAAGTTAGTACAAGAAGAATGACAGAGATTGTGGGATCATTTGAAAAAATTCTGTCAAGCTAAAAATTTTCTACAGTTTTTTTTTTTTTACTTTTTCAGACTGTCATGTTTTTTGAGAASACCAACACAACTATCAGGATGATAAAAGACATGAAAAATATTTTAGGCGAAAACTGAAGCAATATTGAAAAAAAAAAGGACAGAAACTTACCTTTTTAGACCAGATATGAAATACATGCTCTTTGGTAATAACAGGTAGACCTGGTCTGTAAGTACAGCATGAATAATCTTCTTGGCTACAGACTCTGGATTCAGGATAGGCAGGATTCTAGGCCACCTGTTGAAAAAWAAAAACAAATCGAAATAAAAAACATTAGCTGCAAAACTGTTAATGACTGATCATGACACCACTGATAAAAAGGGACAAGACATTAATAGAAAAACAATGGGAAATGGGGGTAAAACTAACATGGAAACACTCACTGCCAGCCAACCACAAAAGAGTGTCCACCTGAAATTAACGGTTCTATAAAACTGAATTTTTATTTATTGGCGTACACCATTTTCACCTTTATAAAAGAGGCCCCTAGACAGACTGTGATGCTACTTCCTAAAATGCTTCGAACTTACAAGTCTACACAAAGAGCAGCCCCTGAGAAAAATAAGAAATATGTTTTCCTGGACATTACTCAGAGACTAAATGAACCATCATCAAACAGAACTTTTCTTTTTTTTCTTTCTTTATTTTTTTTTACCTTACATAAGTTGGGACAGGAGCTCCTACAGAAGAAACMGAATATTTATAGGAATGATACACTACCTGGCCAAAAACAAAGTGTCCACCTGGATGTAACTCAGGTCTATGATGTGGGCTCTCTGCAGGTGGTCAGGTCTAGGTTCAGCAACAGTTTGTGCTCANGCCTTTTGGCCGTACGTTCACTTTTAGTATGGTTTCCACGTAATCCTTTATAAATGAGACCCCAGATCTGTAAAGTTACCATAAAGAGTAAAAGATATAGTATTGAAATAATCCTAAAAATTGTTACAATTAAGCAAAATGTTGTGCAGACTWGTGTTGTTCTAAAATATATTCTAAATCCTGAGTATCCAATGTGGCTCCATTAAATTCATTATTATAAAATGGAAAGATTATTTCACCAAAGCTAACCAGCCAGCAGAGCATCTTCCCCAGAAACCCGCAAACCAAGTAAGGAGGGAACCAATAAGAGAAACATCCAGGAATCTAAAGATAGTTTCGAATGGAACTAAAAGCTGCACATTTTGACTCATAAATGTGGCAGGAAAACACCGGTAAAAAAATTCATATAATGCTGAAAAACAACAACCTTAGAGGGAGGTATGGTGTTGGAAGTATCATATCATGGTCAAACTTGATGCTGGGAATGCTTTTTAAGACTGTAGCATGACTTTGGAGGGTAATTAGTTGTTATGTTGAGTTCATTCTGCCGTTTTTCATTTTTAGTTTGTATCACAGATTGATAATCACTGTAACTAATGTGAATTAAAAGACACTTCCCAAAACCCTAAATTACTTTTACATTCCTGGTTGTAAAAAAGATCCTCAAGTGGAATAAATACCTTTGCAACCATTGTAAAGCGGCTCCAGCTTTTATAATTTTTTTTTAAAATACAGTTGATGCAACAAACCAAATTAATTTTAGAACTGAAGGAACAAAAACTTATTTTTAATGTGTAAACAAATTGTACATCCCATTTACCTGAAGCTGATACAGAATTTTGAACAAATAATTATAAAGCCCATCTGGTGACATAATATTAAAAAAATTATCACATGGCCACGCAATAATAATTAATGCGTGACCAATGGGCTAATTTTGAGCAGCCTTCTTGTGAGAAACAGACATTATTGGAGTCAGATTATAAATAGCCTGCATTGTTTTGTCTTTAACTGTTTAAATATGCACACATATTATTATTATTATTATTACTATTATTTTTACTATTATCATTATTATTAT